ATGGAATACTGATTGTGATGTACAGCTCGGGACTGGTCAGACTGTATAGCTTCCAAGCCATCCTTGAGCAGGTAGAGAAAACTACAGTTGGACATAACACACTCAGGATGAGGCTTGCACTGAAGTTTTCTGTTGTTGTTTGTTTTGTTGTTGTTGTTGTTAGTGAGTCAGGTGCTCATATAATTTTAAATTATAAGAGTTATTATAGAAATATGAAAAGGCACAATAACCTTTGCAAGAGGGGTGGGGAGGATAAACAGAAAGGCCTTTAAATAAAGACATTTTCTCTGCCATGTACATGTAAATTTTATTTCTTCTTAAATAGGCTCTAAAGCCACCATTTTGTTTTGTTTTGTTTTTAGTTCATGCAACAGAAACTTGACTTAGGGTGTGCATGCAGTCAGGGCGGGACTACTGGGACTGTAGGAGAGGCTCCTTTTGGCATTCCTTGTAATGTTAAGATCACAGGTATGGCTGCTATTCAGGATCTTTTCAACTTAAGAAAGTAAGTGCTTGCGTGAATAGTGGTGCGCTGCAAGCGCACCCTTCTATCTCTGACTGTGCACTGACTCATTTCACTTCCGTACAGCATGTCACTCTCCTGCTGAGTAATCGGCAGCACAGTGCTGTCCTCTGTTACTGCAGGGAAGGCCCAAGGATGCTGAGCCTCCTGCCTGGAAAATGATGGGTTGCAGCGGTTCATAGCATCATAGTTTCCTTACAACGTAAAGTTTTGTTTGGTTTTGGTTTTGGTTTTTTGAGACAAGGTTTCTCTTTAGCTTTAGAACCCACTTGTCCTGGAACCTCGCTCTTGTAGACCAGTCTGGCTTCAAACTCAGAGATCCACCTGCCTCTGCCTCCTGAGTGCTGGGATTAAAGGCGTGCACCACCACTGACCCTGCCAATTTAAGGTTTTTTAATTTTGTTAAGTCTACCTATTTCTAAGAATAGTGTTTTCCAAGGAAATAGTAATGCGATGCCAACTAAAGATAGACAGATCCTAGACCTAGGGATGATAAAAAAGAAAGTTATACATGAATTTTATGAAGACCATAAAAAAAAACCAGTTTCTGTATTTTACTCACTTAACTGGTCCAGGTATGGTGGCCCATTTCTAGAATCCCAACACCTGGGAAGTGGAGGCAGGAGGGTCAGGAGTTCAAGGTCATCCTTGGCTATATAGTGAGTTTGAGGCCAGCCTGAGCTATATCAGACTCTCAAAAACAAATAAAAACCACCCAACCACCCTATCTTATTAAATTCAGCAACTTAGTAAAAAACAGCAATTGACAGCCAGCCTGCGCTGCATGAGATCCTGTCTCAAAAAAAAGTAAAATATTAATGAATAATGATGTTCAAAAACACAGTCTATAAAATTATTTCCTGTTACCAATACGATTGAATGATTTAGGGAGTCATCTGCCTAAGGAAATTAGCAAAGTATATAGGGTGTTTAGGTGTCTGTTGCACACTGTGGAGACGGCGGCCCTCTGTCCAGGTCTTTTCTCAGGTATCCAAGGACAGCTTGATGATTGCTGTCCAGTTAAAAGAGTCAGGTAGATAAATGGCATTATCCTAGTATTTTTGCCTCTATCCTTAATTCATTAAGAGTCACTCATTTTTTATCATTTTCTGACCAGTAAACAGTATGTTTTTTAGATGAAACTCCAAAAGTTTTTCTAATATAGCCAAAATAAAACAGGATTTTTTTTCTCTCATCATTTACCATTGTATCGTCAATAAATAGGTCAAGAAACAGAAGTGAAAGATGCAAGAAAGGAAAAGAATGTTCTGTTCAGTGGCAAATGGTAATTACATAAGCCATGAAAAGTGCTCAGTGTAACCAGTTAAGCTCTCCATGAAGTCCAAAATAAATGCTTTAAAAATGATTCATTTTTAAGTGATTTAGGCAGTTTTATGAAAAGTTAGCAATACCTCCTAAGCTCAGAAATACCTCCTGAGTTCAGTATAGACATGCTCAGAAAGCTCCTTAAAAATTTTGTCTGATGCCGGGAGATGGTGGCGCACGCCTTTAATCCCAGCACTCGGGAGGCAGAGGCAGGCGGATCTCTGTGAGTTCGAGACCAGCCTGGTCTACAGAGCTAGTGCCAGGACAGGCTCCAAAGCCACAGAGAAACCCTGTCTCAAAAAAACAAAAAAAAAAAAAATTTTGTCTGCTGTGTGTAAGTCACTGTGTGTATGTCTGTAGCCAGCAGAGGCCAGAGGAAGGTGCCATATCCTCTGGAACTGGAGTTGCGGATAGTTATAATGAGAATGCTGGGGACCAAACCTGAGTTTATTATCACATGACGCTTGAATTTGGCTATTATTATATTGGGATAGTAATATTTTTTTTTACTCGAAAAGACTTTTGCTTATTAAAGATAGTTTCCTTTTCTTAAAAACTTTTAAGTACTTTAAGTATATTTGATATAATTATATCTGTACCTGTTCTTACTTTCTCCCCAAAATTGCTTGTAAGCTACTTTTCATTATCTGTTTTTCTCCTGTGTGCAGCTCTCAGAAGTAAGAGGAGCCCTAACAAAACACACATTTCCATTTTAACACGTAACTCTCACGTGAACGATCTTTCTGAGAATAACCCCTTGAAGACGAGTGCCTTTATGAACCAGACATTCTCCAGGTAGAAGCACAAATCCAGAGGCTATAGATGAGCAGTCAGATCTGTGGCCACCAAAAGGAATTGGGTCCTCACTACAATACCTTTTCCTTACAGTGTTTGGAGTCGGTCTATTTTGTTATTATTAAAACCGTGATCAAAGAGGAAGAGAAAAAAAGCACTAACAAAATTTTCTTTGATGTCCATCCCCAAGAGACTGATTGGATACGTCTGTAAAGATTAGCGTGTTTGATGATAACACTAGAGTGATGTCGACTCTCTGATAAAGTCGCCGTTGTGGCAGACCCGTCCTAAATTGGTTGCATTCGTTCAAACTAACGTTGCTTGTACACAAGACACCTAACACAGGCAGCTTTTGTTGAATTTGCTGGTGTATACCTGTTAGGCTGTGATATGGAAGGTCTCCTTGCCTTTGAAAGATTTATGAGGCCTGATTTGTTCCTCGATTGTTTAGGGAGTTGACGTTGTGGCTAACCTGGAGTTATACAGAGATCCTTGGGGGTGGCTGCAGTTTTTATTATGTGTTTGCCTCCCTCATCCCCGTGGTAAGCACCTTGTGCCTCCTTTTTTTCTTTTTGTCCTCATGCAGGCCACACATTCCCTCTAAAATACATGCCTAGAGAGTTAGCTAAGAGTCACTTTGTTTCCTACCAGCCTCCTGTCCTCTGAGTGACAGACTTCTTTTCTGACTGTATTTTATTTCCTTGAACATAGTAATTTTTCATTAGTGGAACTTCATAAAGTATGCGTATGTACCAAGAAAGGTTGAACTTAGTTAATGAATGGTGCAAGTCCTCCCAAGATGAGAAGCTCATAAATTTCTCTTGCTCATGTCTGCAGGCTCGCCATCCCCGCTCTTTGAAGTCTCCTCCCTGGAGAACGCGTTTCAGATTGGCGGCCATCCTTGGCACTACATCATCACACCTAATAAGAAGAAACAGAAAGGAGTTTTCCATATTTGTGCTCTAAAAGATAATTCTTTGGTAATTCACGAGTACTCAACTTTTTAGCAGTAAATTTATATTAGAAATTTTTATTCTCTGCTCTCATAGCTCTGTATGTCCAGGAATTACCTTCTCATTTAGACAAGGTCTCTATGTAGCAGTGGCTGGCCTGGAACTCACAGTGATCCTCCTGCCTCTGCTATCCCAGTGTTGGGATTAAAGGCGTGCGCTCTCACACCTGACACTTGTGAACAATTTAAAATGCAGAGAACATAGGAAATACTGTTTTGTCACCCAGATTTTTTTTTTAAAACTGCACTTGTTTTTTCTCCTTTCTTGGGAAGTTGTCTTTTTTTTTTAAGATTTATTTATTTATTATGTATACAGTGTTCTGTCTTTATGTATCTATGCACGCCAGAAGAGGGCATCAGATGTCATTATAGATGGTTGTCAGCCACCATGTGGTTGCTGGGAATTGAACTTAGGACCTCTGGAAGAGCAGCCAGTGCTCTTAACTGCTAAGCCATCTCTCCAGCCCATCACCCAGATTTTTAAAACATGAATTTTTGAAAGGTCTTAGAGTACCAAGGGTTCTCGATCTCTCCCTCCCATCCTAGACACTCATGTAACGCAGGCTGACCTCAAACTCACTACATGGGCAAAACTGGCTTTGAACATCTGATACTCCCGACCTTGCCTCCCAGGTGCTGTGACTGTAGCTGTGTGTCACCATACATAGCGCAGGGTTTTGTTCTAAAAGGCTTGCAGCGGGATTCTCGTGGACAACATCCCTCAGATGCTACCGTGGGAACTGTTGGTAGAATATCCTCAGGGCCGCCTCTGAAATTGCTGTGGAATGTGTTGTTGATTTTGAAGAGAGCAGAACCAGATGGAGTTCTGGCGCTCACAGTGTTGGCACTGAAATGGTGCCTTTTCAAGGGTTTCCTCAAGTTGCTTCTGGCACCACAGGAAGAAAAGGCTCATGGCAAAACAGTAAAAGTTTACTCACTGAATTCATCTTAATTTTCTTTCAAAATAGGATTTTTTTTTCTTGATTTTCCATTTAATCATTTGAGGTCTAACATGGCCAGACGTGGCTGGGAGCACAGTTTCTTTCTCAGCTTGTGTGTAATTCCTCAAAGACTCTTCCCTTTTGTGTGACAGGCGGCCCAGAGAGCACCTTTACCCCCGACCCATGCTGTGGTTCTCACCTCTGCTGGTATTGTTGACTTACGTGGTTTATTCCTGAGATCTCTTGTTCTATCAGCTAAATTTGCTTTTTATGAGGTGGATTCAGTTTATTCTACACCCATGTCTTCCAGGACGCTTGCAGTCAGTCACTATGGCTCTAGTAGCTTTTAAAGTTCCAGGTCTCCACCTTCCACCATGCTGAAGGGTAGCATAGGCTCGGGTCCTCTTACCTTCTCCTGATGTCATGGGGTCACTATGAGTAGCGTCTTCTAGTTTACTTTTGTAAGAGCATTTTTCTCACTACTTGGTCACATGTAACAGCCTTGTCCCTTTCTTCCCCCAGTGAAAACCCCTTTTGTATCATTTTATAAAGGATTTCCTTGCCATTGCAAGTCCTGGTGTGACTGCTCCCTCTCATCCGGGACTTTGTTCAGCTATCAGTACCGGTCACTCTCTGCCTCTCTGCTCTGCCTAATGTTTTATCTAAGTCACACCTTGTAGAGTGCACATGTACCTATATAAGAACTGACTCTGTGTGTTCTTTGGTGAAGAATTAAACATACCTATCACATCCTCGTTAATAACAACTACAACATGTAGTCAGGCCTGCATTTCAGCACATTTATAAATAATGGCCTGGGCTCAGACTGCTGTTAGCTCCTGGTGCTGCTGTGTAGAAGGTAAAACATAGGAGCACGTGTGGATCATTTGTCATACAGTGCTCACCCCCAACTACCCCCTCTTTCTTGAGACAGGATCTTACTATGTACCCTGGCTGTTCTGGAATTCACTATGTAGCCCAGGTTTGAGCTCACAGAGCTCCACCTGCTTTTGCCTCCCAAGCAATAGAATTAAAGGCATGCAGCACCAGTATGTGGCTTTTTTCTTTATTTAAATGTTTAAGTATACCTACATATTTTAGAATAAAAATACTCGTTTCTTGTCTTAAATGCTCATTAGTATTAGATTCCTTTCTCAGATTTGAGAGTTTAATATTTGACTTATTTAAGGAGATTGTGTGGCCTGAGTCAGAGACTCTTGGCTTGGTTACGTGTCTAAGTGAGCATACCAGCTCTTTTGATTGACAGGCAGCTGTGGCTGGGGTTGGGCGGAGGACGCTGTAGGGAGCTGGCACAGGTATAGTAGTGGAACGTTGGTGGACTTTGGAGTCAGATCTGCCGTTTAATAGGTTCAAAACCTGGGGCAGTTTTTTTCTCTTTGTGTGTCAGTCTCCTAGCCATAAAATGGGGTTGATATTTGCTTTGAGTGTTAAAGTTGAGTGCAGCTGTGATGAGCACCCCGCAGCCCCCAATACACAGCACATGCACAAGCACTGGCAGCTTGGGTTACTGTTACTTACTGCAAAGTTTCTGACTCTAGATGCTCTGAATTTCTCGACTTTGCGTGTCCTCATTTAGCCATCGTCCACATCCCCCTTCAGCCAGCCGCTCTAGAGTTTCTTTCCTGTACCTGGAAGTCACTGAAACGGTTAAGTTTGAAAATTTTATTTACCCTTTTAATCACTTTTTTTTTTTCTTTTTCTTTTTCTTTTTTTCCAACTTCAGGCAAAAAATGGAATCCAAGAAATGGAGTGTTGTTCCCTAGAATCTGACTGGATCTATTTTCACCCTGATGCTTCTGGAAGAATTATACATGTTGGCCCAAATCAAGTCAAGTGAGTAATTATGTTAGTACTTGAAAATTAAAAGCATTTTTGTGCATTTGTTGACATTTTTTTGTTTTGCTTGTAGCCATTTTAATTTTATGAAAGATTTGCTTGTGTAGGGAGTATTTGCTGAGAGACTTGTCCACAGATTCTGGTTTTTATACTTTAGCTTTGTTGTCTGTAAGTATTGCACATAAGTTTCTTGATTGATGGTTTGTGAATGAATGGAAGGGAATTATAGGTTATCCTTTCTTCGTTGAGTTTTGTTTGCTTTGTTTTAAGGCAGATTCTTAGGGTTTTGGTGTGTAGCTCATACTGGCTGCAAGTGTCTGTAGCCCAGCCTGACTTTGAACTCATAGCCTTTCTGCCTCTGCACTGAATCCTGGGATTATAGGAGTGTGGCACACACCTAAATGGGTCTTCATTCTGTAGGACTGGTGAGAAAGATGATCACTGAGCCAGGTGGCACAGGTCTGAAATCCCGGCTGCCCAAAAGGCCGAGGCAGGAAGATGGCAAGTTCAAGGCCAGCCTGGGCAACTTTGTGAGACCTTGTTTGTAAAAAAAAAAAAAAAAAAATGGGGAAGGGGTGCTGGAGATGTAGTTCAGAGTAGAGCACTTGGCTGTTGTGGGTGAGTGAGGTCCTGGTCTCTGGTGCCCTAGAGAAAGGTGGTGGTTTGCCGTTGTTCTGAGCTCCTGGACTGGTGTTTGTGTACTGTTTGCTTTCACATCAACTTTCTGCCTTAAAATGGCCCTCATGTGGCTCCTCTGACATCAAGTTATGTTCTCCTACTTCTCAGCCTTCTTTGTTATAATCTCTCATGGTTTTCTTTCTTTCTTTCTTTCTCTCTCTCTCTCTCTCTCTCTCTCTCTCTTTCTTTTTTTTTTTTTTTTTGAGACAGGGTTTCTCTGGTTTTGGAGCCTGTCCTGGAACTAGCTCTGTAAACCAGGCTGATCTCGAACTCACAGAGATCCACCTGCCTCTGCCTCCCGAGTGCTGGGATTAAAGGCTTGTGCCACCATCGCCCGGCTCTCTCATGGTTTTCATCTTCTATCCGGACTTCCACTAACTGTTGCTTACCTCAGCGTTTAGGTCTTGTCTTCTCACTCAGGAATTTCTTCCTGTTTGATTCTAGTTCTCCCCCTGCTCAACTCCACCCTGGTTGTACACTAACACAGAGCTCTCATGCCAGAAACTTTTTTTTTTTTTTGGATAAGGTTTCTCTATGTTGTCCTGGAACTTAAAATGTAGACCAGGCTGGCCTTGAACTCACAGAGATCTACCTGCCTCTGCCTCCCTAGTGCTAGGATAAAAAGCAGGTGTCACCAAGCCTGGCTTTCTCCCCATGTCTTTTTTTTTTTTTAAATATTTATTTATTATGTAAACAATATTCTGTCTGTGTGTATGTCTACAGGCCAGAAGAGGGCACCAGACCTCATTACAGATGGTTGTGAGCCACCATGTGGTTGCCTGGAATTGAACTCAGGACCTTTGGAAGAGCAGGCAATGCTCTTAACCACTGAGCCATCTCTCCAGCCCCTTCCCATGTCTTAAAAGATAATCCCCTTTGAATATTTCCACTGATCGACAAAATCATCTATCAGTTTGAAACATGTTCTGATTTCTTTGTAGTTGTCAATGGGAAGTTTCAGTTGTCCCTGCCACTGTGGCTTCTCCTTGCTGTTCTCTTTGCATATGGGACTGTAGAGGTTTGAGAACTTGTGATCTTGAAGCTTTTTAATGATGTGAACAGATTTCTATGGGTGGGAAGCAGATTATTTTCTTTTCTCTTGATTAATCAACTTGACCCATGAGATCATTTATCTCTACAAATCCAAATCTTAAATACAGTCCTAAAAAAATGGCATTGTTGAGTGAGGATTTTACTCTCTTTGAAAAGTTCTGCCTTCCAGTTAATTGCTGTCCTGTCTCAATCACTGGCAACGCTGAGTGCTGTTGTTAGCTGTGCGCTGTGCAGACGCAGCAGTGGAACTGTCTGCTCTGTGTTAGGGTGAGACACGCAGGGCCTGCTGCAGGGACAGCTGAGGTTGGCATGGTGTCATCAGTAAACTTGTTGAAAAATGGTTTAGGCCTGAGCAAGCCACGTATTACCTATTTCAGTGGCGCTTTTCTGTGTCACAAATGTGAGTGTGATGAAGGTCACGAGTGTCGGTGATGAGATTAATAGAACAGCCTGGTCGATGGAGGAGAAGTGAGCTGCTGCAGTTTTCATTCGCTGAGTTTCATTGGAGGTCAGCTTTGGCAGCTTGATGGTGTTCTGCAGTCTTGAATTCTTACAATTCTTTCTCCTTTTCAGAGTCTTGAAGCTAAGTGAGGTAGAAAATAATAGTTCTCAGCATCAGGTCTCTGAAGATTTTGTCATCTGGGCCAATAGAGAAGACAGAGTAAGTCAGAAATATTTTATGTCCTTTCTATAGAACTGTCTAGGTAACTTGTAATATGCATGTTTTCCTGCCTGGCTGCAGACAGCACAGCTGTGCAGGATCTGCTCGTCTTGTCTGCATGAGTAGCTGGTCTAACCCCCACTCACGGATAGGAGTTGAAGACAGTTGATTATACTGAGTTTATCTTGCTCATTTCTTCCTTTTTTTTTTTTTTCCTCTTCAAATTTTTTATTGCTGAATTGTCAATATTTGGTTCTAAATAACTGTGCAAATTTAGGACTAGGTGTAGAATAAATCTTTTAAAAACCAGATACCATACATTAACTGTAGGTAGCTGTTATTTTGCCTTTAGTGTATAAGCTGAGATTGAAGAGGGGTGTTTCTGAAAGCAAATCCACCTTTCCTTTTCTTTGCTGTGAAAAGGCAGAATCAGGGATGAATGAAGAGCAAGTCTAACTTTTAATTCGTTTTTGCCTATTCTAACTTTTTATCCAATTAAAACCTTTATTAAAATAAATTATTTTTCACTGAGTGAAGGATTGAAAATTAGATTTAAATTAAATTTGGAATTTTCTCAGTCAGCTGACGGACTATGGGTGTTGGGAAGGGACGGCTGGTTTTACTACATTTCTGAGGATTGTTGCCTTCGACTGCATGTAACGGAGTGTGTCCTGATTTTCCTTTCCCCTCCGACAGAACGAAAACGTAATCACCATTACAGCTTCTGGACGCGTGGTGAAAAGAAATTTCAGCCTCCTGGATGATGACCCGGAGCAGGAGGTATTCATTAGTTCATGATAGCAGGCCGAGCCAACAGGCGTTCCCGTCCAGCTGAAAGCTTCCCAGGCCCGGGGTGGACACTGGATAAGGGGTCCCTGCCGGTGGACGGTTTGTTGTTTGGTCACTGTCACCCCACCTTCTCTTTTCTTACTGGGATCTTCTCTACAGTTCGTACTCAAGTTTATGGTGCCAAAATAATTTGAAAGCACGATTAACTTACTGTTTCTGTGAGGTGCGCACTCGCTGGCTCGCTCTCAAGGGGGTTCTGCAGATAGAAGCCCGCACAGACTGGTACAGGCTGGTACAGGCTGGGTGACCTGAATTCAGTTCTTGGCCCCTACAAGGTAGCGGGAGAGAACTCTTCTCCAAGAGTTGTCCTCTGAGTTCCATGTGTGTGCTAACACATGTGTGTGCGCGCGCACACACACACACACACACACACACACACACACACAGATGCTTTTCTCTTTAAGATAAATAGCTTTTAAAGGCCAATTCTCCAAGACGAGCGATAACTACAGTTCAGCAGTAGAGTGCTCACATGGCGTGCGAGAGCACCTGGGTCCAGTCCCTGTGGAAGCAACGGGAAAAGAAAACCCTTGGGAGCCATAAGGTTGAGGGTGTTCTGGCACTACTCTTGGGCTGGAGAGACAGCTCAGCCGTCAAGAGCACTTGCTAGTCAATCATAAGGATGAGTTTGGGTCCCAGCACCCATAAACTGAGCATCCCGCAAAGGCCTATGCCTCCATGCCCAGGGATCCAGTGTTCTTTCTGGTTCTGTTGCCAAAGTCTACAGGATACTGCTTAACACCTGAAAATCTGGTATATACCATGTTTTACAGGTATATACATAGAGATTCATTTCTACTGATTCTCTCACCTACTTGTTCCTTCTGCTGTTGTATTTTCATAAGGGATAAAATAAATAAATTTAAAATGTAGGAATATTCCTAACTCATTAACTGAAATTGGCCCTGCTCTCATCTGTCTCCAAGACTATCAAAATTGTGGACTATGAGGATGAGCTGGACTTGCTGTCTGTAGTGGCTGTCACTCAAATAGATGCCGAGGGAAAAGCTCACTTGGATTTCCACTGTAACGAGTACGGAACCTTACTCAAGAGCATCCCGCTAGTGGAGTCGTGGGATGTGGTACGTACACCCACTGGAGTACTAAGTTGTAAGAGTTTCCTTTAAAGGTGCCATTCATTAGAACATGTCCGTATCAGTCCACACTCAGGACCGGTGCCATGACAACAGGAAAGATGTTATTGCCCAACATGCAAGACAAAATAAGTACTTCCTAAACTTTTTTTCTCTTAGCTTTAGGGTTATCTTTTTATCAGTTCCCTCGAAGATAAAACTTTGTGGGTTTTGAGACATGTAATTTCCTTAACATAGTCTTTTTATTTTCCTTCCAATTTTAAGTTTGGTAGCATTTTTTAAATGAAATTATAATATAATTATCTTCCACAGCTAGTTAATAAGAGGCAGTATCTGAGTAAGCTGGGTTTCCAGCACTTGGAAATACTTGTTCTTACAAATGTTATAAAATGTGCATGTCCTGGGGCTGTTGGAGATTGGGTAGAGACCCTGCACCACCCAGAACTGATTGGTGGTGACAGTAGACAAGGTTCAGGAGACTGGGGAGATGGCTCAGTTGCTGTGAAATACGGCTCTTTCAAGTTTGGATCCCCAGCACCCACATCAATGCACAAGGAACAGCGTGCTTCTGCCTCGGCCCTTTCCATCATTATGAACTGGAGCGCGTGAATGTGTGTGCTTGCTCATGCAGCGGAGTGCAGTGAGCTTGTCCCCCGGGCTCCTGAGTCCACAGCCCTTTCCAGTGTCTAAATGGTCTGTGTTTTCTATTAGTCATCTACATGCACAGAAAAATCCATTTTTTGTGAAAAGTTCGTTTTTGACAACTCTTCCACATCTGTGTACATACAAAGGTTCCTGGGGTAGGTGCTAGGATGTCTTGGTGACACAAGAGTGACCATGATTGTGTTTTCATTACAGACATATAGCCATGAAGTCTACTTTGACAGAGACTTGGTGCTGCACATTGAACAGAAACCCAACCGGGTCTTCAGCTGCTATGTTTACCAGATGGTCTGTGACCCTGGAGAAGAAGAAGAAATTGTCAACAGAAGTGATTAAGACAGTGAGATCATTGTAACTTGAAGCATTTGGTGAAACACCCTATCAGCTTATTATCTGCATGGAACATTCTGCAGTATTTTACGTAACAGGTCGTGTGCTAGCTTTTTTCAAAAGACTGGGTTAAACTCTTGCACATAAGGGGGTAAGGACTCCATTTTATGTGAATGCGCTCTAGACTGCTGTCCCAAGAGACCCAGCCTTTGACTCTTCTAGACGAGGTGCTACTGTGGATATGAAATGCTAGGGAACGGGACAGTTACATTTAGGTGTCAGGAGACATCATTGATGCAGGGATAATTACCATGACTTTTAACGACTACTGTAATGTTTTAATTGGTAAGGCTAGGAGAGAGAAACAAATAAAAATATTAAACATAGAAGCCAGGTGTAACACATCTGTAATCCCAGCACATGGCATGTAGAGCAAAAAGAGCCGGAGTTCAAAGCCAGTGTTGGCTATATAGCAAATTTAAGGCCAGGTTGCTCTCAAATGACAGCAAAAAGATAAATAAGTCCTATATACTCTATACCAAACTTTTCTTAAAGATTATAAATAGGATTTGTAATAAAAATCATACTTTTGAGCCAAAAATCATCACAGCTTCTTGGTAAAAAACAAAAAAATACATATAATTTTGTGTGTGTATGTTTCTATACAATATCAAGAATTGATTCTAGTTATAAAATTACCATTTCTTATATGATCTTATTCTATGACTTGATGTTCTCATTGACTATATTCTGTGTGTGTCTTAATCCCAGTGCACGTGGGTGTTTTTATGTGGATATATCTACATGTTCATTTTGTGCAGGTGTGCCTGCATGTGTGCATGTGCAGTCGGAGGCCAGAAGTAGCCAGTGGTGGTGTTCTCAAGAGCCACCTACTTTGTGTTTTGAGATAGGCTCTCATTATGATCCGGGCTCACTGATTCTGCTAGTCTGGTTGGCTAATCTGGGATTCCGTCTGCATCCCCAGCACTGGGATTAAAGGCGTAACATCAAGACCGATGTCTGCTCGGGGGCTGGGCACCAAACTCAGATTTGCATGGTCTTGTAACAAGCACCTCCCAGACTGAGCTATCTCCCAGTACTGTATATCTGTGTTATAAAAAATCCAAGCAAAATCGAAATGAAACCTTTTCCTGATTTGTAACCCATTTAGCTCCTAATACGTCTAAAGATGTTGGACTGATTTTTCCATCCTATTGACTCACTGAATCTGTTTCGTTGAACGATATTTTCATATCTGTGCTATAATATAAAGGGGCGTCTGTTAGGCCACTTCCGTGCACTGCTGGCCCCTGGTGGCCTCTTCCCTGTAGCACAGTTGAAACCCCAGTTTTTTCCTGCCTGGAATCTCCTGATTAGCCAGAAGCACAGTGTCGGTGGAAGGAATGTTTTGTTTTTGTTTTTACTTAGAACATGTTTAAGCCTGGCCCTTGAATTCCACTAATCACTTTTCAGAATGTTAGATAAAGACAACCTAAGTGTAGGGAGAAACTGTTGCTTACTTTCCCTGTTAGAGAAATTCAGTTTCTCAGAATCCACATGTCCATCTCATTTTTCTAATTCAGCCTCAAAAGAATAATATAAAACAAGAATAGGGCAGGGCAGGTAGCTCACACCTGTAACCTGAGCACTCAGGGAACTGCAGCAGGATTGCTGTAAACTTAAAGCCAACTTGGGCTATGAAATAAAACCTTGCCTTAAAAAACAAACAGAAAACAGCAACAACAAAACACCTTAATTTTAAAGGCAGAGGGAGGACAATCTAGAGTTCAGCTTGGAGTATAGGAGCCAACCTGGGCTACATGAGACCCTGTCTCAAATCATAAAAGAACAGCAATAAACCATTTTTGATTCAAGTATAAGGTTAAAATATGGAATTTTAGCTTGGAAGATTTGTATAAAGGTCTCTTCATTTTGGCCCTCCTCATGTTCGGAATGGTGTGAGTCCTGCGTTGGCCCTTGAAAGTCTGCAAAGATGTTTCTAGTTGATGATGATCACCGGGACTAAGGAGAAAGGTGTTGGCTGTTTAAAAAATCAAAGAGCTAGTAGCAGGGGCTATACAATCAAGAAATAAAGGAGGCGGCCAGGCGGTGGTGGTGCACGCCTTTAATCCCAGCACTCGGGAGGCAGAGGCAGGCGGATCTCTGTGAGTTTGAGGCCAGCCTGGTCTACAGAGCTAGTTCCAGGACAGGCTCCAAAGCCACAGAGAAACCCTGTCTCGAATAACCAAAGGAAAAAAAAAAAGAAATAAAGGAAACAAATCTAAATTCATCTTTTTGTGCATAGAAAAGATTTACAGGTTGAATATTCTTTATCCAGGATGCTTAGAACCAAAATGATTTTGTAATTCAATTTTTTCCCCTGATTTTAGAATATTTACAGGTACATTATAAGATCTTGGGGTGGGCTCAAGGTCTAACCTTGAAATTCTTTTTTATGTTTAATACATATCTTGTGGCTGGGCATTGGTGGCTCACGCCTTTAATTCCAACACTCAGAGGCAGAGACAGGAGGCTCTCTGGGAGTTCGAGGCCAGCCTGGTCTACAGAGTGAGTTCAGGACAGCCAGACCTACATAGTTAAACCCTGTCTCTAAAAAAACAAACAAACAAACAATACACATCTGTGTACATAATATGAAGGCACTTTTAGGCACTATTTTAAGTGTGGTCATTTGTGTTTAACTGTGTCCTAGCACATAAGATCAGGTGTTGAGTTTTGTACTCATGACATCATGTCAGCACTAAAAAAAGTTTCGGGTTTTAGAGCATTTTGGATTTCCAGATTATGGATATTAATATGTATTGGCATTATAGAATAAGGCAGAATGAATATGAGCTAAAAAAAAAAAACCTCTTTGGAGCTGATCCTATGTAAACTTACCATCAGAGAACATAAAAATAATTACCTCATGAGCAAGGTAATAACATGTTAAAGTCGAATACTTGGATCTACTGTTTGAAAAATTCAGCCTCATTTATGATACGTAGCAGCTCTATTGAATGTCTCTGAAGGCTGAGAGCGTTTTAGAGACAGCTTTGTAATTACAGGGCAGTTAGCAGCTACATGCCCAGCCCTGCCTAGTATATTCACGCCTTGCTGTTTGGGTTTTGCTTTGTTGTTTGGGTTTTGTTTTTTGTTTTGGCATGTGCATGCTTTGCGTGTGTGTGTGGGGGGGGTGTTTTTAGGCATGGTCTCACTGTGTGACTCTGGCTGCCTTGCTACACTGTGTAGACCACACTGGCCTCAGACTCACAGAGAGCTGCCTGCCTCTTCCTTGCAAGTGCGGGATGCATACATAGCACATCTGACCCACAAGTTTGCACATTGAAAAACAAATCCAGTGAGGAGCAGCAAGAGAGAGAAGAGGGGACTGGACTTTGCCATATAGGTTCCCACATGGCAGTGCATTTGCTCTGAGTTTCGAGAGCATTTGGAACAACAGTATGTCTTTAGTCTTCAGTCTTGGCAGAGAATCTTTGGTGGCTATGGAGTTTCTTCTTTAAATCATTGTGGTGTGTATGTGTGTTGTGGCAGTAGAAAGAAACTCATGTGTTCAGAAAGGCAGTTGAGACATTTCTGAGATTCATGGTGAGAGAAGGGATGGGCTACTTCTAATTTAAGTATAACATGGCCACTAAGAAATTTGTAGTGTAAGCTAAGCTTCCCGTTCATATCTCTAATCCTGGCAACTGGGAGGTTGAAACAGGAGGGTCGCTACAGTTGGAGGCAAGCCTGGGTTGCGTGGTCACAGAACATACTGGGTTATACAGACATGTGTAACTCCAGCTCCAGGGAACCTAACATCCTTTTCTGGCTTCCACAAATACCCACACATATGCTTGCATGTGCACACAAATCCATACAATACACACAACAAATACATACAAATATTTATAATACACATAAATAAGACAGTGTGTGTGTGTGTGTGTGTGTTCAAGAGAGCTGTGTGGTGTGGGAGGTCCTTCTGTCTATGTGTTGCTTTTATTGGTTAATGAATAAAGAACTGGCTTGGCCTATAGCATGGGAGGAGGAAGGTGGAGTCAGAGATACGCCATGGATCTGCTGCCTGAGACAGGTCCTAGGAACTTTACCCGGTAAGCCACAGCCTCGTGGCCATACACAGATTAATAGAAATGGGTTAAATTAATATGTAAGAGTTAGCCAATAAGAAGTTAGAGTTAATGGGCCAAGCAGTGATTCAAATAATACAGTTTCTGTGTGATTATTTTAGGTTTAAGCTGCAGGGCGGCCAGGAACCAACAAGCGGCCACCTCCTTCAACAGCTGTGTCCAACTAACAAATTTAGCTACAGCTGTTAAGTTTTGGCCAGTAGTCACAGTTTACGGGAATGTAGGCTGCATATTTGGTAATAGGATGGTTGATAAAAGGATGCCAAAAGATACTGAAGGTATAAAAGAATGGAGAAAATTTAGATGCCATTCATACCAAGAAGTTTAGCTGGGGATATAGCTCAGTGATAGAACACTTGGCTGTTGTGCACAAGGCCCTAGGTTCAGTTCCCAGTGCTGGAATAACAGCAAATGCATTGCATGCTATCCCAAAAGTGTGTCCGTGCCTGCTCACCCTGAAGTAGTCACTTCTCTCAGCAAGCACAGATGTTACATTGTATTCTCAGAGCAACACAGCAAGCTTATTGTTCTTTAACTTCCTGCAGTATTTATCACAACTCTAGGAGAAATATAAAACCAACCCAATTGTCGTCGTTGTTTAACTAATAAGTGAGAGATGATTTTGTTCTGTTTAAAGACATTCCATAGCTTCCCAACATATGAGCATTTTATTAATTTTATGTATACTTTTATTATTAAAAAAACACGGGGAAAACCATGTTCTCTCTCTCCCTCTTTCTCTCTCTCCCATATCTGTGTTCATTAAACATTCTAGAATCTAAGTAAAACTCAGGAGCTAACCAACTTCTGTTCCCTGTGTTGCTGGGCAGTCTTCGGCTCACACGGAGAATAGAGTCTTTCAAGCAGGGTCTACACTAGATGAGACTCAGAGCCTTCGCCATCGTGTCCGGAAGATTTTAAACATACAGGAAGGTCACGTAGCTTCACTGTGTTATCAAGCACCAGCCACAGAGGTTCCACTATCTTATCACCTAGCTTCTCAGTGCAGGTCAGAAGAAATCACAGCTCTCAATTATTCCCCCTAGCACACATGTAATAATTTTACTATTCATCTAGATCTCAAAACGTAATATTCACATATAATGAAATGCACAGATGTTGTATACATTTGCTGAGATCTTGTGATCATACAATCCAAATCCTTTTCAAAGTTTAAAGCATTGAAGTCTTCCCCTCCCAGGCCACCCTTGCTTCACCTGCTCCTGCTCTGACTCTGTCACCTTCCAGCTCTAGCTACTTGGAACAATGACTGTGAGGTTCATTGGTGTTGAAGCATCTCTTTTAATTCCCGAGTGTGTTATATGAATGCATCAGTCTCTTTCTCTGCTTCCCTATTGATAGGCTCCTGGGGTGTTCCTGCTCTTGTTTTCTTACTGTTATGAACAAAGCTGCTGTGTTCACGTGTGTGTGTTCACATGTCTGTGGTGTGTATGTGTTGTGTGTGTGTAAGTATAGTGTCTTTTGACATAATTGTGCACTCGCTGAATTGCAAAATGTAGGGAGAGCGAACACCTATCACACAGCTTCCCTGATATCTACTGTT